AAACAATTAATACTGTATTAATTGTTTTTTCTCCATTTTAAAATGTCCAAAACCAACTATTCTTATGATATTAAAGAAAGACAAAAATAATTCCTGGCTCCTTCCCCTTATCTTGATCAGGACCAAAAGGTTTTGTGCTAATTCATCCCATTGTTTTTCGTAATCAATCTTACACACAAACAAAGTCCAGGGGTGAAAACACAACCCACCTTGTTGGAAGAAAAAAGAAAAACTTCTTATGATAGGAAACAAAACTCATGTTTTTGTCATGATGGCAGAAATACTTCCATAACTTTCAGTTAAGTCCAGTCCAAACAATGAGCATGGCCACTACAAAAAACACTTTACATGCTTATCATACCATGGGTTTCTGTGCTTCATTAGCTAATTTGTGTGTATTGGTAATAATAATATCTTATATCTCACCAGTCAAAGAGAAGGAGGACGCACACACAGACCCAGAGTTCCAGCCCATGAAAGAAGACGACTGCACTTTTGGGGAATACAGGTGAGAGAAAGGGCTCCAGTCCCCAGAGCCAATTTTACCCATCAGCCCCTGCCCTGTCCCCACTGTGTGCCAAGCTCTGCTCTCTCAGGCCGGGCTGGAGTTCTGCACTCCTGCCCTCCTCTCAACCCTTACAGCTAACCAACAAATGACCCAGGATCACCAGTAACAGAAATTCAAAACCAAGAAGAAGTGCCCCCTCATTTGAACTTCTGTCACCGTGAAGCACAAGATTATTTTTTTTCTTGGGTTTTCTTGGGACGTCCTGGAATCCACTTGTGTTGGACTCTGTATTGTATGTGCTTGATATGACATCTTGGTGTCATTTGAGAAGCAGGAATCTTCAGGTTCAAGGGATTTCGGGGTTTGGGTGTTTAAAAAAGACAGGAGAAAAAAAATAAGCTACATTCATTTTCAACACAGCCCTACGCATCAAATCCCATGCAAACTGATAAGCTACTCATAATACATTGTGTTTACAGTATATTAAGTATTAACACTTTTCTTAGTGTATTGCTAGTAACATACACAACCCAGATAAGATTGAAAATTACTGAAAGTATCATTCCTGCTAACGTAGAGCAGTTACCCAGCTTTGCTTGTTAGCATCCTCTTCAAGGCTGCTTCTCCAATCGCACGCGGAATAAAGAAAAAAACGCACTTTACTTCTGTATAGCTAGCATTTTTCAATTTTGTTTTTTATAAGTCAATTTATAAGATTGTCTTGCTTTTATATTTTATATTCCTTTTTGTATTATGTATACATAAATCTATTCTATGGATTTTTTGCTGTGATAAATACATATCGATCTATATAAACAGTATGTATAATATGTGATGTGCATGGTGTGAAGATCTGATATATGAAAATTTGCTTTAGGCAATAATGTATTGAATGGAATTATTGTTTATATATAGATATACAGTATATAGATGCATATGGATTGAGAATGAAATAAGGAGCATGTTTGAGGGAAGTGTTTATAACAGGCCAGTATCCAGTCGTCCATAATAATAATAATAATGAGGATGGTGATATTCTACTTTTCATATTGTCCAAAAAACACTATGAAAATATCAAAACCAACCGGTCCAACTGTCCGTACCTCTTAACGTGCACATTTTTACAGAATAGTCATAATATTACAAAAATAAAGTCGCTATTTTCTTTATTATTTTCTTGTTATATTATTCTTTTTTTCTCAATAAATCACGACTTCATTCTCGTAATATAATGACTTTATTCTCTAAATACCAGAAGTTTTTTTTCTTCAATATAGTCCTTTAAAATAACTGGACATCGTTTCTTTTTGTCTTTTCTTGTTTTTTTGGACAAAAAGAAAAGAAAATTATAAGACTTTATCCATTGAATCTATCAGTTTGAGAAGAATAAATCAGGGGCCTCTTTACACTGCAAGAAAACCTCTCCCATGGACGTCACAATCATTTCTATCCACGCTGTGTCTTTAGGCTCAGCTGGATTCTTACAGTATGTCAATAAAGGCATAACCTAACTCAACTCAGCTGTTCTTGTTTGACTGCAGGGGAGCAGACTGTGAGCTCAAACTGTACATGTACTCGGCGTATGTGCCTGTCAAAGTGCCACACTCATAAAGTGCGGCCATGTCTCGGAGCGACTGTTGTGTTGCATTGCGTTGTGTTGTGTTGTGTGGGATCTCAGCCAGATCTCCTCGTCCCAATCCAGGGGGTGTGGGTCTCAGGAAAGGTAAGGGTGAAGAGGGTGTGTTGGGGGGTGGGTTGGTTGAGGGCCATCATTCTGTCATGTGAGGAGGGTCAGTGGATAGTGGAGTCACTGTGGAGAAAAACTGCTCGCTGTATGTACATCCCAGGTTTTCACAGCCGCCATCGAGTTTAATATTTGGTCATGAAGCCGTCATCATGTGCAGAACATAGATTAATCTTTTCCATCATTCGTCTGCAGCGTTACTGAGCTGTCAATGCTTTTGTGTACTGATTATTACCTGTTGTATTTAATACATCAACATTTCAGCATTATGACGGCTTCATGATCTGATCTCATTGATGTTCAAGTCATAGATGTGGAATGTTTTCAACTCTCTGATATCCAAAGAAACGTTTCTTTGCAGATTTTCTCATGCATTTTGCCAATTTTGTGATATTTCTCATGCTTGCTTCAGGGGGATGTTTGGCTGAATCCTTGCTTTCCAAGTGTTACTCATTTCATTTGCCTTTTTCATCACAACCTCTGTGTTGGGGCGAGGGTGTTGCTTTTGTCTAACAACATATGTACCACTTCATTTTTTTGGTTTCAGGGGGAATTGAACAACGTATGATTGCTTGAGCTGTATTCCCCTGTTGCCTGATGGAAACCAACTAATCATTCATCCACAGTTTTTTAGACGTGGAGCCAACCAAATTCAAATCGGACATGAATGTTTATTGTTGCTGAGTTTAAACGTTTTTTTTTTTTAAAGTAAAGAAATAAATCATCATATTTTCCAAATGAAAAAAACAAACTGGAATGGCACTCAGTAGAGTTCATACCTCCGCCAAGGCCCAACATTGACTCCACAGTCACAGTTAAATTCCTGATTTTTATTTGGATCAAATTGCAGACAGAATAAATGTCAGGCCTCTAAATATCCCAGAATTTTTTTATATAGATCTCTGAACTGTTCTCTTCAAAATCAATGAAAGAAAACACCCTCTAGCATTTCTAAATTACAGAGTTCTTCCTTAGATAATGCCCCACCCTTCCACCAGATTTAATGGAAGTTGGTTGAGTAGTTTCTGTGTAATCCTGCCAACAAATAAACACAGACAAAGACCTAACCTCCTTGGCGGAGGTGATGACCTACTTATCATACAGTAATTACCTTGTGGTAAAAGTAACCATTGGCCGTCTCATGCTCCATCTAAAAAAGTGACCACTAATCTCCTTGTTGCATCTGTCACATCATCTCACCTGTAACACCTGCATGTTATTTTCTCCTCCAGTGACAATGAGGACCATAAGCCGTTAAAAGGGAGCCGCACGCCGTCTAACGGGACAGTTAAGCGGGACGACAGTGACGACAGTTTAGTTGACTACGGGGAAGGAGGAGACGGACAGTTCAACGAGGACGGCTCGTTTATCGGCCAGTATAGCGGGAAGAGCGGCAGCAGGGACACGGCTGAGGGCCATGAGAGCTCTGAGGCCCCGTCCCCCATTAACGCCATGAACTCCTTGAACTCATTTGTGTAGCCAGTCGGTCCTCGCACACCAGTATGAGGCGCTCGGCCCCCCAGGTCTCTCTTTAGAGTGCTGACCCCAACACTGCATGGCTTTATGATCACAAGTCCACACATGACTCAGCAAATACACACAACTCATCAGAGACTTTATCTCTTCACTTGGAAATCTTTATAGAGAGGCTTGGAAACTCTTATCTCAGTATATAAGAAGTAGCTCAACCAGTCGTATGATTTTAACAGTGCATGAAATAGGCCTACTTGATATCATTATCTAAATCCATATTTAAATTAACACTTTGATATTAACAAGCATTGCATTTTGTTTCTTTGTTTTTGTGGTGTACCTGGACTATGCAGTGGTCGTCTGAACTATATTTGTTTCTGTTTTTTGTTCTTATATTATCGACTATGTTCAAATAGTAATCAGTGTCCATGTATTTTGTTTTCCAACACAGAAGCTTGTACAGGAATCTGTATTTAATAATGTAATTAGCTTGTGTAATTCCATCATGCATTTATACAGTGCACACAGTAGCTCATGTACAGTGTATATATACTGTATATAAATATAAAGTGAACTAATATTGGGGGGCAGTGCACACAGCATGCATCGACACGTTTCCATCTGTCCCCGCTCTGTGGAAACATCCACCTGCACCTGTGACGGAGGGGAACTGAAATGCTGCATGGCATGTCACATGACCTTTGACCCGCATGTGACCTTGTCTGTATTGAGCTTGAGATCTGGAGGCCAGGGGGGGGGGAGTCGCTGAGGGTGCGACCGCTTTGCCTCGGCCCCTGCAATGCTCCTTCAGCAGGTAGTGCCTTTTCATCAAAAACAGTAGTTCTGAGTCTGAAGTTTCTTTCCAGAGATCAGTGATTGGAACAGAGACTGTGGTGGGACGGCTGAGGTCACGTCCAAGAAAGGAGGAGATAAGTTTAAGAGGACGACCCTACGGAGGGAGGAATTATTCATAACCTCCATCTCTTTTTTTCTTTTGAAAGACTCCTCGCTACACATTGAGACACAGGACTGGATTTGATTCCTCCAAGAAGCTAAAACATTGAAACCACTTTGGTATATTAAGTCTGCCGCCGTTATGTAAAGGACCTGATTGTATCTGCAGTGTATGAATGTATGGGTGTGTGTGTGTGTGCGTGTGTGTGTGTGCGCAGAGACATTATTCATTTCACATTTGACAAAAACTGTTGACGTGTTCTAACCACACTTGAGGGCCTTTGGATGGGATCAAGATTTCTTTTCTCTTAACTTGCATCAAGTTTTTTTTTTTAAAGACGTGTAGAGTATTTGTTGAATTTGTAAATACCTGAACTGATTGTACAGGGACAAGCAGCTTATGAGGCGGCCTGTGAAGGCAATATTGTGCATGGTATGGTTTAACTTGTCGATAGGACTGTATTAAATATAGACTACTCCCTAGAGAATATCTATATACATTTTGTTTTTCTTGCTGTGCACAGTGTACGTTGTACTGTAACTAACTGGACAGAGAAATGCATACACATTTGAATTCTGATTGTTTTTCTGGTTTGCTTGTCAGCGAGTTATGTAACTTTGACATTGTACAACAACCTCAAGGGTGAAGCGACAATATTAACTGATGCACACAATGATATTCCTCTGATTTGTATTGGTTCTATACGCAGTACCTATATATATATACTGCCAAAATGATGCTTCTTTCTGACAGTATTGCAAATGGTTTTGTATTTAAGAAACAGATTTCTACTAACAGATACTTTCTTTGTCTCTATTTAAGTTGATCCTTTTAGTGCAAGTATGGAATTCAAGCTACTGGAAATATAATGAATGAATAAATAATTATCTGCTTTTGTTTCAGCTTTCAGACTCCTCTGTCATTGGCCACTTTCAAACTTAGTCCTACTGGACTTAGATTCACTGGCTCATTAAAACCCTGTGATTTGTAGGGCTACATATTGTAACCGCAAATTATTTATTATTTAACGAAACATACCACACAATAAAACATGGGTAATTTCAATATGCTATACTGGCCATCTCTATGACTGAAAATAAAAAGAGATGCTGAGTATATTTTTGTTATTTGTTTTGTGTAATATTGCCAATAAATATATATAAATATATTCCTTGAAGTGGAAAATAGATTTACAAAAGTATTTCCATCTGAATATAACTGAGTATTTTAAAGTAAAATAATTGAAAACCGACCCCTATGTTGGACGTATTATTATACAGTGTAAGGCATGATCTAATTGTTTGCTTTTATGTTTTCTATTAAATCACTTGTGTGAGATGTCTCAGCCTCTGTAGTAATGAAGTAGGTTAATTATTACAATTATTATTATTAAACTGTTGCATAGTATTTTTCAAAACAATGGAGAGTTATACTTCTTTAAGCCACAAACAGATAATGAAATGAAACCATAAAGAATTTGAAGTCACCTAAAACAACTGGACACTGCTGATGTGTGAAAGGTCACAAAAAGGTTGAGAAACAGTGTGGCATTATCTAAACTTCTCATAGTATTTAATGTAAAATCTTTAACATTTGTAAAATACCTCAAATGAATGCAGTAGTGGGATATTGTGTGGTAGAGTATAAAAGCATATTTGGAAGAAGAACTGCAGTTGTAGTAGTAAAACCAGCCTGTTCCATGAAAAGAAGCTGGTGGACTGTGTAAATATGGATGCCTTCACTCCCCTCAGACTCTCGCAGCTAAAGAAAGGCCTCATGAAACACAACAGTTGGGCTCCATCTTTTTTTTTTTGTGCTCACTTGTGGCACTTCCACTTCCATTACAGTCATATTGTCAGGGTAATGGTGAGAGAGCAGTCCGCCATCTGCTGCATTATCACACAGCAGTGGTGTCAGGAAGTGAGGAAGTCTGCTATCTGCTGTCTTGCAAATATTCTCTCTGCTGCTGGCAAAGGACGCTGCCTTCTGTTCCTTCAGGTGCACTAATTCCTTTTTTGCAGGGTGAAATTGTTTGGGGGATCGTTCACAGAAGTGTTTGCAGTTAATAACAGCAGTGATTAAAAAGTGAATTGCCTCCCTGCATATTTATGAATCAGGGTTGATGTTTAATTTTCTCTGTAATGATGCCAGGAGAGTTTTTACCAGGCAGTGTTGAACTGCACCTGGAATATTTCTAAAAACCAATGAGTCTCACTCTGTGTGAGCAGCAGTGGTGTCAGACACCTGCCGCCCTTCAGCAACCGGATGATGATTCATCAATTTGTTTTTGATAGATTTTCCCTTTTGACTTTACTGCCACCTACTGACAGAAGACAATTGCACTGCTGACTGAATAGGCAACAGGCTTTTAAAAACACTGAATCAGAAATTTGATGCAAGGAACATGACTCAACTTGTCAACAAAACGAGCTAAGGATTATTTAACCTTGAAAAGATCCCATTCTCAAAACACAACACGTTGCCTCACATTTTAGCTGACTGCTGTAAGCCTTTGTTTAGCCCTCTGTTGACATCTCCTGTCCTCAATTACAAAGGCTTGCTATAAGAGGCTTAGCAATTTGTTTTCATGGCAACAGAATCACATTATTTGTCTGTCAATTGGTGACCATTTCCACCAAACAAGCAGCTGCCCATTTATGCCTCTGACCTCCACCTACCCACCCACCCACCCACCCTCCAGTCGCTCCGCTCTGACCGCTTCCCTCCAACCATCTCATTCCTCATCCAATCCTCGCCGGATCCATTCCGTGTCAGCCGTACGTCTGCCATAGCATCCATTAGCCATTCCCAGCTCCACTGTGTCCGGCTCTTTGATTTATTGCATGGGCTGAAAGCCTTGTTTGAATTGATCTACAGCTGATTTGTACGTCTACCTCCAGTCTGTTTTCAGCGGGGAGGGGAGGGGGGGGTAATTACATGGTCTCATTGTGACGTCCTGTTTTCCGGCAAAACCTTCAGGAGCTACAAAGGGCATGGTTTGTGCCCCGGATGCTCAAGTGCAGGACATAATCTTTCAGCTTGTACAAGATCCCCAATAAAAACATTGTGCAGAATAAAAGACCTCAGAAGCAGGTATCAGAAAGACACCAGCATTTAGTTCCTGGTATCCTGAAGTGTGTGCAGAGCTCCAGAGCGTCTGTTCCTAAGATGTAAGTGGCAGAGCCTTTGTGCCTTTATGCAAATGTGGCCTTTTCTGATGCTCTGAGAGCTGGGGAGGATAATTGTTTATGATTACTCTGTGACATTTCCATATGGCTGGTGAACAGTATGACAACACACACACACACACACACACACAAACACACGTGTCAAGACCAAGCTGTTGGAGCTGATTGGCAGGTTTGGCTTGTTTGAAACTGAAAACCCCAAATGCTTAGGGGTCAAAAGGTGTTTCTATTTTGACCGGCAGCAAATATCGTTGCGCTTCTCTTCAGTGGACACAAGATAAAATGAGATCTTTACTATGAATATCCAGCATTTTAATAGTTTTTTTTATCGTGACACCATCAACCCTCTCCTCGCCTAAAATTCCTATTCCCTACAAACACCCCCCACCCCCACCATATCCCATGTGTATTTTAACATGGATGGGTTGTGTGAGCCCCCATGGAGATCACTGGGGCTAAATCTCATTTACCCTCCCTCTCTCCTTCCCTCCCTCCTCCCTCCTCCATCTCCCTTTTCCTCTGCCTTCCCATCCCTCCTCCTCCGCCACGCAGATAGATGAGAGCCACCTATTCTTTTCTCCAGACAGCAGGGTGTTTGCTGTTCCTCTTATCCACCCCAGACACCGGCCTTGTAACTGTGTTGCTCACCAGCAGGATCTATCTCTCTTTGCATTTTTCATCCTGTGAGAGGAACAACACTGTTGAGGTTGGAATACAACTAGATCTCAGATAACCCCAGCACAAGATAATATCCTTTTTGGGCCCAGCTGCTTTATTAGGATGTCATGAATTTCATCAGTGTTACTAAATTCCTCCGGCCTCTGTGGAGTGACAGATTTTCCAGATATCTCCCTCAGGTACAGGTAATGTCTTTTTGTGTTGGGCCAACATTAACAACAATTTCCATCTCAAAAGGAAACTATTTTGGATGGACAGTCAGAATAAGAACACCCTCAGGGAACAAAGCAGCAACAACAACTTGATAGTAAGCAATGACATTTGTGTAAAGTCAGTTTCCAATCACATTAAAAAGAACTTCTTTTATATTTTCAGACCAAATTCATCCATGGGGACATAGTCCTTCAATTAATTCCACTCTGCTCTATCTCAAAGATTCCTGCATTATTTATGTGCCGCAGCAGATTACTATTTGCAGTGTGGTGTTTACAGCCAAGATTTAAATCTAATCCCCGGGGATTGAGATGGTCTCATGTTTGGACTGACACATGGGCCAGGCGTTGTAATTAGTAGAGGTGCCCTTTTGATATCTGCCAGATGAAGAACAGGCTGATGGATAACAAGCAGGCTGGAGCCACACTCCTTTCTCATTTTCTCTTGTCATGCAGATCAATTTATCTGCTCATGTTTGAAAATCTCCATCTGAAACTTTTGGTGGTGCTGTGCCGCAAAACAAAAGAATAGAAGGAAAAAAACCTCCTCTCCATAAAATGTGGTGTGGCTGTGGTTCAGGAGGTAACACAGAAGGTCAGTGGTTTGATCCCCAAAGTGTCCTTGGGCAAGATTTCCTGTGCCAGCAGCATATGAGGGGGGTGTAGTACAAAAAGAACTGTGTTTAGCATTGAAAGAATGCAGTAAGACTAAAACAGGTCAAAAGACAACTTTGCAAGAAGGTGAGTACTTGGTCAGGTTTTACTCTTGGGACCAATGGGAGGCAGGTATGTATGCATGGGGTGGGTTGAGGTGGAAACACTGAGGACACCTTGTGGGCAGGTGAGAGATGTCAGGGAATATCTGGAGAGATTAAAAAAGTAAAAATACATTTAATTATTTAAACAGATTTTCTTATGGTGCACCAGTTATCAATACTCTGGATACTACTTCAAGACAATGAGCATGTATACTCAAGTACTTTATGTAAGATCAATTTGGGTGAAAGGATGTAGAATTAACACTTGACTCAGCAGTTCTATTGATAATGTAAGAGCCTTGTAGCTTTCAGTAAGTCTGACTGTGAGCTTGACCTGCTTGTTCCCCGGGACCATGGAGCAGTGGTCCCCACAGTGATTCCCCGACATAAACATTATAACCTCACTAATATAAAGAAAATATAAAACCCAAACTGATGTTGGCAAATCCATATCAGTTAAGCAGCTAAGTCAACGTAAGGGTAAGGGCTACCCTAACATTTTGCTACTCATTTAACATGCATATAGGTAAAAGGGATATGTAGTCTTTCCATCACATGGAAATTGAGTTTTATGAGAAGAATAATGAGTTGACATGATGATGAGTAATGACAGTGGGGACATTGTAGCAGCAAAGCAATTTAATGATTGCTAATGCACATTAAACCTGCACTGCCATCAAAAGCATGAGGTCGAGCTTTTCATAAGATCATATATATCTTTTTAACAACGCAAAAAACGATTTCATGATTAATCATTGAACACAGTAATTGTAATGTGTAAATGACAGGAGGCAACACTTTGTGTAGATGTTAGGCTCATATTGAAAAGTTAGACATAAATATAAATTATCCATCATAGTGACTGACTGTTAGACTGCTGTCGCCCCACCCCCCTGCAGATTCATGCACACTGCAAGCACTGGTTGTTGTTTTTTTTTCAAATTTTATAGATATTGAACGTATCGTGTCACAAAATTGCACCAAACTTAGAACTACACTCCCTCTGACAATTTACAATACACATGCCAAGTTTGAAGCCAATACGATGAACAGTTTGTGAGATTTGTGTTGCACATACAGACGGAAGTTTGTGGAATATTTAAGTAAATGATCTGATGGTGATTTCTGACCCTCGGTTTGACCCAGTTACAGACCGCAGCTGTAGTTTATCAGGACGTAGAGAAGAAAACATGTTGAACTCTGAACACAGACAGACTCTTCGCATGCTGCCCCCCCCCTCCTGGTTCACACTCACACACTGACTGCTATAGAATGCTGGTTCTTGCCTATTTATTTACATTTTTATCAATATTTAACGCAACATGTCCTAATTGCACCAAACTCATCACGTAACATTACAATAGAAAGTGTAGAATGTCAAGTGAGAAGCCGATTAAAAGAATGGTGTGCAAGATATGTGATACACATACAGACAGAGATGTTTGTGGAGTTAGCAGGTAGATGCTGCTACTCTGATTCCTGGATTCTTTTCTTCTTTCTTTCTTTCTTTCTTTGTACTTTTTCTAAATAGTGGTGTCTTGTACGCCTGTTTAAGGCTGGGCAAATAATGTAGGGGTAATAAGGACTCTACACTCCTTAGAGATAATAGCCTACACACACACACACACAGGTACGCACACACACACACACACACACACACACAGGTACGCACACACACACACGCACACACACACACACACACACACACACACACACTTTTTTTAAATGTTAGTGAGGCAGTGGAACCTGAGGCGGAGCTCAGAGGGAACCCGGACACTTCAGTGGGACTCACAGCTCTCTGCTCCTGGGGAACAGGCGGCTCTAGCGCCCCCCTAAGTTGACAACCCTCCATCCACTCCTCGGGTGCAGGACCGCGGCTCTGTCAGTCTCCTCTCTCCGCTCTGAGCGCCCGGCGATGCGGACCTGAGCAGGTGTGAGCATCGTGAAGGACGAACGGAGACGGACGGACGCTACCGGAGGGTAAGGACACGACGAGCCCCGCACGCACACACTACACACACACACACACACACACTGAACCCTCCCGTGTGATCTTCATTTTAAACATCCTCTCCACAGGCTCCGTGCGTTTTGACAGCTGTGGAATCAGTGCTGTTTAGAGAGTGCGATGTGCGGACGTGAAGGAGCTTAACGCAGCAGCTCTCCGCAATGCAGGATGGTCAAAGACCTGGGTAGAGACATGCTGCGTTTTGCATGTGTGTTGAAATATCACACGCCGTGTATTTGACTTATCGTGGCGGAGGTGATGCTGCATGTTGCATGATCTGCAGCACATCCTGACGTGCTCTTCTCTCCCACCCCTCCATAAAATGTGCCGATGCTCAGTATAGGTGTGATCGTTTAGTGATGTTTCAATGCAACACACCCATCAGCTGTGGAAGTAAGTGTGAGGCTGAAATTCAGCTGTGATCAGACATCACAAGAGGCCACACAGCCTGATGGCGCCCCCACATACCCACCGTCCACAGCCGAGATCAGGGAGCACGACAGTAAACACTCTGCTGGAGCTCAGACGCATGTCCTGGTGTTCAGCGGTGGATTGAGGCATGTGGTCCGGCTCTGTCATCCTCAGTAATGGGCCATCGCAGGGGTGATTGAGTGTCAGGGTGCAAGAGAAGGTGTCATGGGCGCGTCCACACACATACACATACACACCCAAGGCTCCAGAGCTGGGAGGGAAGCTGCTCATGCTACATGCTGTCAAAGTAAGGTTTGGGTACTTTCAGGGGAGATTGCCAAGAGGAGGTGTTCATCATGTTGCCAAGTGATGAAGGGCACGCTTTGATTTTGTTGTGAGGATGATGGAGGTTTTAAAATCATAAATATTAAACCCCCACATGGGATTATTTAGATGCAAAAACATTACAAAGGCAATTTTTTATCAGACGGTTCCAATTTTTTTCCCCGGCCAAGCACCCTCTACAAGAAAGAAAATACTCCGGCTCCCCTCCCCTTGATAATTTTCCCTCACTCCTGTTGAGGGCTGAGGATAGAGGATGTCGCACTTTGCCCTATCAGACAAATTGTGATGTGTGACTATGGGCTTTACAAATAAAATTTGATTAGATTGATTGATTGATGAATGTATTTCTTTACACGTCTGTTTAGTAATGGAGTGAGAGTTGGCTGCAGGGGTTTTATTGCAACATCCTCCATCAGGTTGCTCAAAGACCTATTGGAATCCACAGACAAGCCCTGAGCCAGACCATAAAAGAGGCATCAGGGATTGCAAACCTCTGCACACAATAGCTGTGGATCAGGAGGAAAGACCCCAACTGGGCCCCAAGATGGTAGGGACACACGCCCAGCCTGTGGTGGAGCTGCCTTAGAAGATGGTCTCCAAACATACAAGGGATATTCACCATCTTGTCCTGTGTTCTAAAAAGAAATTCAAACAAAAAATGTTAAAGAACAAGACAAGAGAAATGTCTTGAAACACAGAATAGCCATATATCCTGATCAATTTAATGGATAAAAAAGTGTCAGTGTCTGTGGACCCTGGTTTGAGAACCACTTATTTAGCTCTCTCTCAATGATAGGAAATTGCATGGTGACCATCTTTGCTGACTGGTCACTGTGAAGGAGCTATATTGCGAAGATTGTCTATAACTCAAGATTTTCAGATATATGTGACCACTGTATCAGATAATGGCTTTCAAAAGGCACATTTAGTCTTCATGATGCTGTTCCATAATGACTTGAGTGCACGGCGTTGGGCGCAACAGACAGCTGAGTATGTTTAAGCTTGTAATAGGGATTCAAAATGTAATCAACACCACCCAACTGGAAGCGAAAATCCCATTTAATGGACACGTTTGTTTTGTGCACCTCAGAAGGGTAGAGCTAAGCGAATCACACCTGCTATTTTGGATTTCTGCTCTCAGGTTAACATATAATGCAGGTTTATGAATTGTCCTTTGGTGTCTGGGCACTAAAAGATCTTTAATCATTGCCCTTTTTTCTGGGGTATGTTTTTGCAGTGCAGTGTCATGTGTGAGATTCCACCCCCGTGTGTTTGTCCTGACTAAATCAGAGCCATAAAGGTGGCACACAATGTCAGCGGGGCTCCGTGGCAGCCTGTCAGGGGAAGCACTTTATGAATCCTGTAAGCCTGACTGCTGTTAATGCATCCTGTGCTGCCGTCCCGTGCACACCCCGAGGACAGACCCTCTCCTTCATGCTAGGTGAATGAATTTACTCGCCTCAGAAGTAGGCTAACCTGCCGCATGCCGAGCAGCATCTTGAGTTTTTATCCCCCTCGCTATCCAACGAAATGTCTGAGAATGGAGTTTAGAATTTTGTAAAAGGAGGACGTTCCCTTACCAGCACATTTGGCTGAATTTTGTTTTACATAATACAGTATAGCCTGTAAGATGTGGCTGCTCTGTGATGCATGACAAGGCTACAGCTTCAGCCTCCATTAGTGTCACATTCAAATGACTCCACATAACTGTACACTTACTTCTTCTTCTTCAGTCGCACACTTCACTCACTCATTTATTAAGGTAGTCAGGGTAACGTCACCTGAGGCAGACACTAAAGTTGTCAGCCTCCACATCTACACTCCAGCCAGCATGTGAAGTATGAACTTAAATACAACAGTGAGAGTCTTGTGTATAAAACCTTACTGCAAATCTCTCCCATGCACGAAGATTTCTTTTTACATTCTGTTTATTCAGTCAGACAATTAATTTTTAATTCACCCCATCTCCTTCAAACATGTCTCAATTCAACCAGCATGATTTTAGTGCTCAAAGCAGAATCTTGGATGTTTCCCAGAGAAGATAAAGGTAATTTTAGAGTCATTTTAGGAGATTAGATTTGTTTCCAGATGTCCTTCAGAACCCTGGGCGACAAATTCTTGGGCAAAGAGTCAAAGAACCAGTTGAACAGAGGAGGATCGATTGAAAAAGGCTCTAAACTGATTGGCAGCATTGACATGTGGCATCAGCGGGACTAGTTTGTCAGGCGCTGTTTGATCTGTAGCACTGATTGCAGCATCAGTCATGCTGGAGGGAATACGTCCCCTAGACTTGTTTAACTGTTAAAGTGAACGCTCTAGGAGAGGAAATAGCAGGACGAGACGACCTAGGCTCATGAATAGTGTGTGAAGAAACACACACGCATACACACCAGCCTGTATTGCTGCCGCTGTCTCTTTCTCTCGTGCTGACAAAACATACGACGCTCTCATTCGATGCCTCTTTCGAATTGCTCAGCAATTTACACCCCAGTGATCAATGGGGGAGTTCCACTTATGGTACGGTAGCGAGGCAGAGACATGACTTCTTCTGTGTTTGCCTGGAGACAGACCACTCCTCTGTTCATGCCTGAGGAAGAGAAAAGGCCTCAGTCCCCATCTGCCATCCCTGGCTATCTGAATACAGCGTCTGCAATTGATTCTCCCACTGTGGACTGCTCCTGCTCTCTGCATGCACGTGACCCATAGATCTTATGTGTGGAGAGAAAGCTAAGTGGGGGGAAAAAAACTCCCAGGGCACAGTGCACGTTTGTATCCCACTAGATACAAACTGTGCTATGTTCACTGTCCCCAGGATGTTCCGTTGTTGCAGTTGCCTCCATTTTCATAGTAAAACAATGTAACAGTTCTAGCTTACTTCACTGATAGGTCTAAATGGCATGCAATAGGTCAACCTTAAAGTGAGCGCCCCCTGCTGGATCACAAAGCAAACTGGTAATGGTCCGATGAGCTTCTAGATAGTATATTTTGAACAGCGCATCACAGTTTGAATATGAAACCGCCGCACGTTTGATTGGATGTTTGAAATTTACTAGTTACATTAGCCCGAATATAAATAATCTTTGAGCTACACTGCTCAAACTTTTTTCTGTTTCTGTGCAAATACAATTGTGTGAGTGTGAAACATATATTTCTTCTGCAGTCCATGATTGGTAACTTGCCATATGTTTAATCTGGATAAATAAAGTATATCCTGCAAAAATGGTCTTTTGTAGATCAACACAAAAGCAGCACATTGCAGAAGTAAAAAAGTATGTTTATTTAATAGCAGCCACTGGCCTTTTGTCTATTTATAGCCGTAAAGCTTGCAGAGAAAGATATTATTAATTTGATGACATGGTAAAAAACACTCTTGAAGAAACAGATTGGTTATAAAAACAGTCATTACGCTGCCCTGAAGATATAACCTCTGAGTGTCTTTCATGAAAGAACATTTTATTCATTCCCCTTTTTTTATCAGTGTGATTTTGTTTGTCGATAAAGTGTCCAGCATCCTCAGTGACTCGCATGCTTCCTCTGTTTTGTCTATCTGCCAAAGTGATGTCTCTTTCAAAAATCTCATTACTGTGTTTCCATTTAGATAATGTGCTCCAGACGAGCAGTGGTGTTTGGAAGTCGCCTGGTATCTCACCTTGCCATTCATTGGGGAAATAGAACGACATTGATCAATGTCATCAGAGTGTTATCACGCAGTGGGTGGATGAGTCTGGTTCAGTGACAAGGTTTCATCATTGGCCTGTTGGAGCAAGTTAAGATCAATTCTTTAAAACCATAATCAGTCAAGAGTGATTTATTAAAGAGGTCAATGATGAACTGGATACAGATTTTGAAACAATGTATCTTATTTTGATATTAAACTCTGTTGTTTGGTCACAGGCCATCTGCAGGCTTAAAATATTGAGTTTATTCTTGCTATATTTAGGAACAGTCAGAATCTGTAACTAGGTTACATCTGACAAGATTTCATGTCTTTTCCTCTGATTCGTTGCTAGGTTTTCTCTGAGGTATTTTTAGACTTTACAATCAAAGAAAATCTTTTGGGATTTACAGACTCAATTAGAAGGAGATTACAACTGTGTGCCCTTCGCCTGCTAATTTCAGTTAAAACCTCAATTATCCATTTTAAATGTTAATGATAATATTTCACTTCCTTCATTACAGTGTCAGCATAGACAATTGTTTGTGTGCTTATGAGCTG